CTGTACCTGGCTGTTTATTAGTTTTTGATGACTGCATAGCAAGTTACTACAAGCCTATTGGCTTAAAAGAATACCTGTTTTTGGTTCACAGTTCCTTGGTCACAAATCCAGGCATGGTGTTCACAGATTGTTCAGGGTTTCACAAAGCTCTGTTCTCATCTTGAGTTATGAAGTCCTCCTCCAAACTTATACAGAGCTTTATGCAGAATTCCATTTCTTAAAGGATTGAGGTCTCCTATCTTTGTGGGCTGCCAGGGTTGGGAAGAAATGTGCTCCCAACTCCAGCAACTACCAACATTCTTCACAACACTGATTCTCCACACCCCCATCAGCTTAAATGCCCACATTGCAAGAAATCTCTCACACCATGAATTTATTTGCTCAGGAAGAGCCTGGTCTTTTTCAGAGCTCCCCTCATTAGGACAGTCCAACTCACCAATGGATTGATACATTCATGTATCATAGTTGAATGGACTGGGGGAGCGGGTGGAAACTATAGGACGTGGGACCCAGTTGAAGGGAGTAGGTACTTGGGGGCATGCCCTTGTCCTGAGTGTCTGTCACTCCCTCTCTTCTCCCCTACCCCATCACTTCCTTCCCGGCTGCCCTGAGCTAAGCAGCTTTGCTCTGCCATTTTCTTTTGCCATAATGTTCTGTTTGCCTCACCCTGGGCCCAGAAATAAAAGAGCCAGCTGACAATGAACTGAAACTTCTTTACCATGGGGCAAAATGAATCTTTCCTCCTTTAAGTTGTTCTTATCAGGCAATTTGGTCACAGGGTTGGAAAACTGACTAACATAAGGAGCAATATGCAACCAATGCCTGTCTCTAACAACTAGACCCCCAAACTTCACTAAAGTGACCACTCCTGAATCTCCATGAGGTTTATTGTCCACATTCTGGAATTCAGTGTCTTACCATGATGTGCTCATCCATTCCCGACAATCTGGTGTTACAATTAAATGAACAGATTTCATATTCTAATGAAATTCCAGATGTCCAGATAGCTTCACACTGTATTGTAGAGACTAGGGGCTTCAAATAGTTCAGAGAGAAATTATTAGCACATGCTACCATGATTGCATCCTTCATCTCTCTAATGGTGGCTCCAATCTCCACCTTTACTACCTTTATCCCCAGCCTGCAGAGAACAGCACCCCAAACTTCCTAGCAATGCAGGTCAGAGGTTTCCATTTGCTTCCTAACAATGCAGGTCAGTGAGCAGTGTCAGAGGTTTCCATTTTGCTTTAGCACAGTGAGATCCTTTCTCCAAAGCTAAGGGCCTAGTGTGGGGTTCATCCAATTTCAAGGGTTAATTATACACTTGAAGAAATAACCTGGGTGTTTGCAGACCCAGGAGCCCCATAGTAAGCCAGATTTTGTTTGTGTTAATTACCTGGTCTGCGGGCCCCCAGTGTAACATGCATTCCTGACATTATGGGAGGCTGGTGTCTATATCAACTCAATCTCAATGCACAATACTCCTTAGCATTCTGCCTGTTTCTTTCCTGTCAAGTCCCATGACTAAACACTCAAGGTCATTCCAGGTGAACTGGGCTGGCACAAAATAATCACACAGAGACAGAGAAATACATTTTGGGGGGGTTCTGTGATGGCTCCTCTGACCTTAGGGGTCTGTGGAAAGAGAGAGAGCCACTGGAATTCTTTATTCTTATATAGGGAGGTTCCATGGAACACCCTATCCCAAAGGGCAAAGGCATAGGATTACAAAGGAATAGTTGAGTGTAATTCAACCCTAGTGAGTGCTACCTACTCCTGGAGCCATGCCTTGATATTCGAGCTGGGCAACCCCCAAGTTACTGGGGTCTGTCACTATTGCCAGACTATTGCAGTAATTGTTCAGAGCCTCCTGCTTCAAGACTTCAAAGTGTCTGCATCCAGTGCAGCTCCCGACACCTTCCCCTGGTATAGTCTCCTGGACAAATCAGTGGGGTTCCTTGGTAGAAGGACTGAGGAAATTGTCACTGTATATACTTACCATGATATTCCAGGTCCTTTTTCCTTCAGATATGGACAACATCACAGTTTGGAATCTGAACATTGGCTCAGATTTGGAAATTGAGAATGGAAACATGATTTGTTTTTATTTTTTTAAGAGAGAGAGAGAGAAGAGAGAGAGAATTTTAATATTTATTTTTAGTTCTTGGCGGACACAACATCTTTGTTTGTATGTGGTGCTGAGGATCGAATCCGGGCCGCTCGCATGCCAGGCAAGTGAGCTACCACTTGAGCCACATCCCCAGCCCATGATTTGTTTTTAATTGGTTCAAACACCTTCAGCCTCCTGATCTTCAACTGCTTTTTTATCACAGATACTGAGCACTGTTCTGCAGGCTGACTGTCTGTTTTGACCCTAAGGACACCACCCTTCATGAACCTTCTCCGCAGCCCTCTGCAGGTGGAGCTGCCTTTGCTCTGTGGTTACTGTGGTGGCTTCCCCTCACTTGTGCTAGTTAACTGCCACCACTTGGTCTCCAGCTCTTCAGGACTAGGATTTCTCCTTAGGTATTAATGAGCCTAACTCTGGGATCACCTTTACTACGTTTACCACCAGCCTGCAGAGAACAGCACCCTAAACTTTTTAGCAATGCAGGTCCCTGTCATCAGCTCGTTTCTGAAGACTGTGGTAAAAGTGGGGGGCCTGCTGGGTCTCTTACAAAATATGGGTCTTAGGCCTTCACAAAATCTCTACATTCCACACCCTGACTTCCCTTAGCTTCTGTATTCTATCTGTTGAGAGTTGGACATCATTTTTCCAGTCTTCACAGAGCTCAGGGAGCCTCACAAATTACCTCAACCTAAGCAGCCTTAGCCAGCACCATTTATGACCTGACAGTTATGAATTCCCAAGTCCAGTAATGGGTCTCACAGGGCTAAGGTCAAGGTGTCAGAAGGTCTGTGAAACTTACTGTAAACTCTGGGAATAAATAAGTTTCTAAGCTCATTCAGGATGTTAGAATTCAGTTCCCTGCAGATGTAGGGATAAAACTCCCAGTTCCTTGCTGACAGTAATTTGGGAGCCAAATTTAGCTCCTAGAGCTCTCTCTCTAGCCCTCACACATAGCCCCTAGAGCACATACCAATCCTTCTTTCACTGAAATCTCTGACATCCTCTCATCTGTTTCTGATGTCCCCTCTGCCTGCCTCTTCTGCAGCATCTCTCTGACTCCAGCCAGAGAAGGTGTCTGCTTTTAAGGATTCATGTGATTTGATTGGGTCACCCAGATAATCCAGGAACATCTCCCTATTTTCAGGTCCTTAACCTTAATTATATCAGCAATGTCCCCTCTGCCATGTGATGCATCCTATTCACTGTTCTAAGGATTAGGGCCTGGGCATCTTTGGGGCTCATTCTTCAGTCACCAATTCTGCTTGTGTTGAAACCCATGAGGATCAAGGAGACATTGCTGCTAGAGAGGAGACAGGGACCCAGGAGCAAAGAGCCCAGAAATAGGGGAATGAATTGGGGAATAGTAACAATGAGGGGAATGGGAGCTCTACTCTGGTGACAAGTTAGGGAATGATAGACATCAAAGAAACAGAAAGGTCTGAGAACCACAATGAGGAATAAGGTCTTTACCTCACCTCCTAACCCAGGAGTGCAATGTCCCTAGGGAAGCACCATGCAGAGAGAAATTGAGAGGGGCTGGGTCCTCGGGAAAACCCAATCTTCTATTAGGAGGGACATCTTGAAAGGATGCATAATAATTTACTCCTGTCCTGTAAGAAGAGAGGGCACCCACCCTAAGGCTCAGGTCCTTTGGCACCTGCTGCTGAAGATGAGACTTCTGGGAACATGTCTGACTCCAGAACAGGATTTTTTCTGCCCTGCTGTGGGTACCTCTCTCCAACGAGGAGAGAGGATGTGTCCTTTGTCCTGATAGTCCTAATGTGCATGTCCACACTCTAGGATATTAGGTGGATATTAAGACATTGTTCACAAATAAGAGGTGATTTTATTGAAAAACCTAGTGAATAGGGAGATTCTTAAAACTGAGCTTCAAAAAACAGAAATAGGGAATAGAGGAAAATATTTTTCCTTGTCATATATAATGGGGTGTTGCCAGGAAGCTAAAAAGTTCAGTAGCAGAGAGAAGATAGAAGCCTTTGGGAGAGCGTAAGTTCTCTTGATCTTTCTTCTTCAGTCTCTGGCACATTCCTGACCTGGACCTCGAAGAGTCCAGAGCTCCTCAGAAGCTTCTTCATTCCCATTAATACCCAACCCCAGAGTGGCACCTCCCACCCACTCACAGCCCAGCTCTCTCCTGGGCTGCTCAGGCAAAATTTCAGAGTAATATGACAGCGCCCCCGTGTGGCCACAACGCTGAACACAGAAATCCAGTTCAGCTTTTCCTTCCTACAAAGGATACTTTGGGATCCCAGCACCAGGACAGAGCTCTGCACACTGGGGTCCTCCTATCCCCCATGGTACCAGGTGCAACCCGTTTCCTAAAACCCCAGTGTTATTCATATTTCCGGTCCACTGAATGAGCACAAGCAAGAAAAGTCTCCAACCCATAACATCTGGATCCCAGTTCAGTGTAGACCCACAAAAGTATTAGTGCCCTTAGTCAACTGGATGGGAACTTAGAAGCCAAGTTCCTGTCATTTGTTCTGTCTGTTCCCACTGGAACTTGGGCTGCCACATGAATCAATCCAGTAATTCTCCCACCCTGAGATCTTAGGAGGAGTCTGGGGACATTAGCTTTAAGGAATTCTCATTGTTTTAGTCAGTTTTTCCATCACCATGACCAAAAGAATTGACAATGGTGCTAGGAGCGCGCGGCGGGCGTTGGGCGTGCTTTGGTTTAGTGGCTCCATCCATTTTGGCCGTGGTTCGCGGTCGCCTCTAGGGCTTGAAGTGCCCGCCAAGTCGGAACTGGCCAAGAACAATGCTGCCCGGTCCACTTCGACTTTAAGGCTAGAGGAGGGTCTCCGACCTTTTTCAGGTTGCTGACGGCGTCCAGCCCGAGGCAGCCATGGCCACGGGCTTCTCCTTCGGTTCTGGGTCGCTGGGTTCCACCACCGTGGCGGCCGGTGGGACCAGCACTGGCGGCGGTTTTTCTTTCGGGACTGGAGCATCTAGCAACCCTTCTGTGGGACTCAATTTTGGAACTCTTGGAAGCACTGCAACTCCAGCAACTACGTCTACTTCTTCTGGTGGTTTTGGAACTGTGCTCTTTGGATCTAAGCCTGCCACTGGGTTCACTCTAGGAGGAACAAACACAGGAATAGCAACAACTATAACTACAGGACTAACTCTGGGAACACCAGCCACTACATCTGCATCTACAACTGGCTTCAGTTTAGGATTCAATAAACCTGCAGCATCTGCCACACCATTTGCTCTTCCTATTACTTCTACCTCAGCAAGCGGTCTCACTCTTTCATCTGCTCTGACATCAACTCCAGCAGCATCCACTGGATTTACTCTAAATAATCTGGGAGGAACAACAGCCACAACTACAGCTGCATCAACAGGCTTTTCTTTAGGGGGAGCCTTAGCTGGTTTGGGAGGTTCACTTTTCCAGAGTACAAACACAGCAGCATCAGGACTTGGACAAAATGCTTTAGGCCTGACTTTGGGAACTACAGCAGCTACTTCAGCTGCAGGCAATGAAGGCCTCGGTGGTATAGATTTTAGTAGCTCATCAGATAAAAAGAGTGATAAAACAGGAACAAGACCAGAGGATAGTAAGGCACTGAAGGATGAAAATCTACCTCCTGTCATCTGCCAGGATGTTGAAAATCTCCAGAAATTTGTGAAGGAACAAAAACAGGTCCAAGAAGAAATTAGTAGAATGTCTTCAAAAGCAATGCTTAAAGTACAAGAAGATATTAAAGCTCTGAAGCAACTTCTATCATTGGCTGCCAGTGGATTACAGAGAAAGACTCTTAATATTGATAAATTGAAAGTAGAAACTGCTCAGGAGTTAAAGAATGCTGAAATAGCTTTAAGAACCCAAAAAACACCACCTGGACTTCAACATGAAAATACAGCTCCTGCTGACTACTTCAGAATCTTGGTTCAGCAATTTGAGGTACAGCTCCAACAATACAGACAGCAGATTGAAGAACTAGAAAACCATCTTGCCACCCAAGCAAATAATTCACATATAACCCCTCAAGATTTGTCAATGGCTATGCAGAAAATTTATCAAACATTTGTAGCTTTAGCTGCACAACTTCAGTCTATTCATGAAAATGTAAAGGTACTCAAAGAACAGTACCTTGGCTGCAGAAAAATGTTCTTGGGAGATGCTGTAGATGTATTTGAAGCCAGGCGAGCAGAAGCTAAGAAGTGGCAGAATGCACCCAGAGTTACTACTGGACCAACCCCTTTCAGCACCATGCCAAATGCAGCAGCCGTTGCCATGGCTGCAACACTTACGCAGCAGCAACAGCCTGCTACAGGTCTGAATGCATTCAAGTTATAGCTTCTTACTGTTCAAATGCTGAACATTTATGTGCATTTTTATAAGTCTTCCTTTTGTGTGAGCCCTGAAAAAATTTCTATGAACAGCTGTTTCAGTACAGTCTAAAACTTGTGATCGACACAATTATAAACACACCTGACAAAAAACGCAGGGTAGTCTAGCAATAATTATACATCAGATATTGACTATTGTGAATTAACTCAATGTTATTTGCTGTATTGCTATAAATACCCTTTAGACTATGGTGTTTCGCTACTGAATTACATTTAAGAATACCATTAGGTTCTAAAATCGTGATTGTATCATTTTTTGTTTCAAAGTCAGATATAATCCATCCATACGTTGCATTTTTCATGTATGATACTGATAGATGGTGCATTCTGACCTTTTTCATACATAATGATTGCAAAGTACCCACATTCAGGATGCAGTGTGATTTTATTGACTGAAGATGTGTTGAAGATCAGTAGATTTGCTTTATGTACTTTGACAAAAAACAGAATACAGGTCCTGTAAGCCAAATTTTGAAGACTATACATCCAAGAATTATTTGTTCCTTTTCAAAATAAGGGCTCATGGACATAAAAGAAAGTAGCAAGAGCAGGAAGAGGACGTTTTGAGATTTGGATTGCATGTTAAGTAGGAAGTGGGGAGTTGAGCAGATGAAAATAGTGAAATATTAGATCTTTTTAGTCCTTGGTTTAATTCCACTTCTAATCAGAGAAAAAATTTTGTGGTGTAGTTCTACAATGTTTCATTTGGTCCTTGGAAAGTAGGGAAACTTTCCTTATTCATTTTTGTCAGGCTTTAACTTAGGAAACTATACTCTTAATGGATATTGAATTTTTTTCTTTAATCATTAATTTTTGAGGCTTGTTTATTCTACAGCATGTGTCTTCTGAGAATTCCATATAATCTGGCAGTAAATTACAATACAAAAATAGTTTTAAAAATACATATTTAGGTTGCATTCAAGCTGCCTGTACCAGAGAAGCATTTTATGGTAACTTTTGGCAGTTTAACGAATTCTTCTTCACATTTGGAGAAAACAGATAATGACTAGATATCAGTAAAGAGTTGATGATGCATCTATGCCAAATCCTCCACATTCCATGGCTGGACACATGTGAATAGTGGCTCACATAGCACTATCTAGTAGCTCTCTAGCTGGCTGGAGTATAGGATTGTATTCTCTCAAGTTATGGAGAGGAAAAATCATAATGGGATTGATTGCTTTGAAGAATCAACCCCCAAATTACAACCATTAGTTCTTAATGATTATTTAACCAGCTAATCAAATCAACCATAGTACCAGTTTACTTTTTAGAGCCAGTATTAATTCTAAAGAAGATCAGATAAGCATGGCTGTGGTTAAGTATTCATTAAATATAATTGATTTCCAATATAATAAAGCTTGAGAAAAGTCAGTTATCTAAAATTACTGTATTCTATGGTAAATAAGTACACTTGAAGCAAAATTACCTGTCGAGGTTGTTTTGGTTGTTTTTTTGTTTGTTTGTTTGTTTTGTTTTGTTTTTACTTTTTTGAATGTAAACTAATTTAGAGGAATTGATAGGCTTTCACTCATACATTTTGGGCTCATGGACATAACATGTATGTTCATTCTATAAATATGAGTTCCTCCTATATGCTAGTTTTGGGGGACATAAAAATAGATGTAGAAATACGATCTTTGCTCTCTGTGGTAGTAGAGAATAATAGCTTAATTTGGATTAATCATTCTGAGGAGCTTTTTGCTTTTATACTTAAATTTTATCTGTGAGTTTTGCCAAGTTGGTAAGTTTTTTCTTTTGCCAGGGGAAATCTTAAGACTTTAGTGTTCTTGCAATTTTAGAGCCTTTAGGAGCTTTCTGATAACGTGGCAGGAATCAGAATGTTTTAGCCTTAACAGTCTTACAGTATTATTACTTTTGAGTTGTTTGAATTTCTAGAACTGAAAATTTACAGAAGTGACAATAATCTTGTATTATGTCTTTCCCTTTTGTTTCTCTAAAGGTCTCCCAGGCTCTGTAGTTCATTCCTTTATAACTTCCCATTCAGAATGCCAGTGGTTTTAGTCACCAGTCATGTCATCCTGATTATGACATAAGCTCTGCTGGTTAAATAACAGTTTTATGAGTTACAGCCCACTTAGTAATGTCCCTGTTTATTGCATTTATATTTTGTGTCCAAGGAGTTATTCCTTGTGCCTTGATACTTTCATGAAATCTTTTAAGTGCCAATAACAAATTCTAGACCATCTAGATGAAATGAGATAGAACTTGTGTGCTGTTTTTATACATCACTGTTGATTAAGGTTTGAGTTATCAGAAGATTTAGTTTTATTTGCATATAGATTCTTGATTTCATTAGAAAGATGGCACAGAACAGATAGCTTTTCTTAAACTACCGGTTTCTGAATGTTTCTGTTGTCTTAGAGTCAGGGGTTGGACTTAAAATGACTTATTGATTCTTCAGCTTTTTTTTTTTTTAATGTTGTTGGGGATTATATCCAGGTTCTCATTCATATTAAACACACACTTTACCACTAAGCTACACTCCCAGAGTCCAATTTTTTTTTTTAATGAAACAATATACAATAGGACTTAGGCATGTGTGATTTATGGTGGTTTGTTCTGAAGCCTGAAGAAAATTGCTGAAAAACCAGCAGGCTATTTAAGTACGAAATGAGTATCAGTACATGGATAAGTTACATGTTGGCAGATCTTTAGTATACTTGTTCACAAATGCCTCAAGCCTCCTACAAAGACATTTACATTAGGCTGTTCAGTATAATTTTAATTTAGGATGGATTTTTAAAGCATTGTACTAGGATTGGATTTTGCCATTGTGTTTTGACCAACGTTCTTGATGCTTACCTCATGATTTTTCTCATGTGACTTAACTGCTGTTTTTAAGGAGAGCTGAGACATTTATTAGAAATTCCTACTTTCTAGCTTTTAGTGACAGTCTGGATATTTAAGGTGTAGTGTTAAATAGGGAACTTTAAGTATTTTATCCTAGTTTCTTGTGGTTTTGTGATTTTGTTGTATTCAATAACCAAAGGAATGTTCCCCATCAAATAAGTAAGTAAAGTTTTCAAACTGGGGAAAAGGCATTTTTGGTTTTTTAAGAAAAATTATTATTTAAAAAAATGACTTAGGAATTAACTATACTAACTATGTTAGGTATTTTTAGTGACCATAGAAAATTATTTTTAAAAAAAAGTTTTAGCACTTTAGTCCTTTTCCTGTGAATGCAGTTTTACTTTTAAGAAAGAAAGTAGAATTTATTCTGGAAAATATGAATGACAGTGCTAAATCTCATTTTGTTGTGTGTGAATATATCTTATGGTAACTTTTGTAAAATGTTACTCTACATAAAGATTTCACTTTGGGCAGTCATTGGTATATATTACTATTAACTTGGTTTTATTTATGGAACTAAGAGCCTCTCATTAAATGATTATTCAGATTTTAAAGCAGACTTGAATTGTTTACGTAACTTTTGCCTGAAAGATTTTGATTCTGCTTTCTAATAGTGAAACTAATATATATGGTGGCCAGAATGTAATATATGCTAATACTTTGGCATGGGAGATATTTATGATGAGTTTTTACTATTAAAAATGTTATACATTTGCCTACTAGTTTTATAAATGATGTTGCCTTCAAAATTTGTATGAAGGTCCAAAACTCAAACTATCATGTATCTGTTGTGCAATGGAAAGTCTTGTCATTGTTAGCTATATGAGTTCTTCATATCCTGAATATTGATGATTAGAGAAACTATGTTCTGTTGCTCTTAAAAACAGACCCACACACAACAACAACAAAAACATGCTATTTGAGTAACTCTTATGACTTATAAGGCTGAGGACTGTGGTGTGCATTGTTCTTTAGGGTCTTCCACCAGCAGTGCCTCCTTTTAACATGTGACACTTAAGTCTCTCTATGTTAAAGAAACTGGACATGTGTTTTCTACATATTATTTTTGTTAGGAATAAAAAAAGGTAATATGCTTATTTTCTTTTTTCTATAGTAACATTTTACAAAAGAGCTGCTAGGCAGGTATTATATTCTCAAATTGATCTCAAACTGGATGTAAAAGCTTAAATCCTTTTTTATTTATTTTTTTAATAGTAGTATAAGAACTCTGGCCGCTATTAGTTATTAATCTTTATTTTCTGGATAGAAGCTATTTGAAAAGTCCAGTTTCTGTCCCAGTGTGTAGCAAAATGTAGTTCCTCATTTTTTTGTTTTTCTTTTTTTGTTTTGTTTTTTAATACTTTATAGTTTTACACTACCTTTTGAATATACAAACCTCATTCATCATTGAACAACTTGAAGGCTTTGATTTCTTTAAAAATTTTAATTTTAATATGTATTACTTTGGCATTCCCTCAACTTTTGAGATGCACTGATCACTGTGCTTGAAAAAGACAAGACTGAAGATTGTACTATGAAATCTATTGAGTAATTTTCATAAATTATTTATCAAATGAGATTTTTAGATTTTTGTATTCTGCTTAGCTTAAAAAAAATAGTAGTTAAAAAGAGAGGCTAGTAAGTTTGATGCTATTTTTGCCAGACAAACTCAGCCAAAATCTTTAAAGTAACAGATGGGAAAAGGATGACTAATCGTTCTGTATCTGAGTACATTTCCCAAAATGTTGGAAAGAAGCTTCTGAATTGAAATCTTGAATGTACTGAATTTGTCAAGGTACACAGCGGTGCCTTTGTAAATGTTCATTATCTTATTTAATCAGGTGATAAGTGGTGTAATGTAGCTGAGCTGAAGAATAGAACTCAATTATCACTTTTTGTGAACAAGTTGGAATTGTCATGTTACTGTGTAATTGGTTTGCTTTAAAATGAACAATAAATTTAATTAAAAAAAAAAGAATTGACAATAACAATCACAGGAGGAAAAGTTTATCTGGAGCTCAGAGTTTCAGAGGTCTCAATTCATAGATGGCCAACTTCATTGTTCTGGGTCCAAG